GCGCTCTGTAGCGGAACGTTCTCGTGCGGTTACCATGACGCCGAGAGTGGGTGATTCCCGCCCTGTCGCGCCATTCTGACCTCTGGCTTGGTATTTGTTTGAGGCAACCGGAGTGATTCCAGAGGTTTGTGTATGTCTCTGTTGTGGGTGCGGGGGTAAATGTGGTTTAAGAGTTGATGTATCTCTTTATGTTGACGGCTGTGCTGTTCTCGTGACATAGCCAACCTGACATATGGTGAAGACACTGGACATCACTTAAGAGTGATGCTATCAGTCATGATGGTCCTGTATCTGTGCCATTAAAACAACATTTGTATAGCTTGATTTAAACATGCAAGCAAGATTCTCTTCAAAATCTATACAACACTACAAGGCTACAACACCAAAAGTATAAAGTCTACTTGTTCTAAAAGAGGCATTTCTAACCTGCGAGGAACAGACCCCCTTCAAAAATGTCACTAATATTTTTGGATATATGATAAACTGTCTTTAGTCTATTCACAAGCTGCACCCAGTGTGAAGTGTCAGAAACAAGGTGAATTGCTATCAATTTCAGACCTTTCTGACCTTCCCCCAATGATTAGATCAAAAGAGTTATTAATTCATGGCATCGCTATAGTTATGATTTTGAACAGCTCCTGGAAAAATACGGTATACAGAAAAAAATATTCAAGGGAAAATGATTCACGGTATACAGAAACGGATTTATCAGTAAAATACTGCTGCACATCATGTATTTTACTGGGGTTCCAATGGTATAAATCATTTCATAATTAAACAGTAAAAATAATTTCATAATAAAATTAAATAAAACTGAGCTAGTGCACAGAAGCTACAAGCTTATGTGAACAGTATTTTTTTTAGCCTAAATTCGCAAAAGTGTAGTTTACGGGTCAGTTTATCCAAATGCATGGTGTGTGTTTAATTTTGTGCCAGAACTATTCTGAATATATGGTTATATATTCAAAAATTCTAAAAGTGCAATTTTCTTTAAATATTGTAATGTAGTTGCAAGCTATTCCTCAGTGCCTGAATCTGGCACTAAATCACTATTTCAAAGAGATTCCTCTACTTTTAGTGTGGTGTATTTGATGACAGATTTCATACAACTTTTTAAAGACAAAATTTCACATATATTACCACAATACCTATCTAGTGAACTTGGCAAGCTGCGGTTGACCCTTCCTTAATGCTGTTAAATAAACAGACCTGTTTAAGAAAATATGAACAACTTTACAGTATAAGTTTAAACTCAGAAACAGCCTTTCTGTTATTATTTTTTGCACCAGTCTCATTTACCAGAAAGTGTATTATGAACCTGCATGTGATTGCACTTGCTTGCACAATGTTTTTGCTGTAAATGCCAGTAATCGGATTACAGCATTTGTTAGCATAGAGATTGGAAGCGGACCTCATGTTACTCTTGCTTGCTTCACATTTGAACTGATCAATAAGTGCCCTAATGAAACAGTAAAGAGTGCATTTTGTTGTAGAGAGAAAAACAGCAGAAGGGAGGGGAGAGTAGAAGAGAGATATTTCGAGATTGTACTGGAAGTCATGTGGTATTTCCACTAGAGGACCCCCTACTTCCTGGTTTCCGCTGAAGCCCCGCCCATGCCCTAATGTGGTCACTGTTGAGAGTAGCACTAATGTTGCGTCACTGCTGAAATTATGCAGCTCCTTCTTTCTCACCCCCGCCCCATATCCACACTGTTTTTGTTCTCTGAGAGTTTGGCTGTCCTCTTATGGTACTGCCTTTACAAGCAACTGCTTGTTCTTTCGTACAGGCCATTCTTCTCCTGCATATTACTTGATAGTTTGAACAGAGCTATACGAATACAGATATTGAACTTCCATCTGCTGCAATACAAAACAAAACAAATTGTGCATATTGAATAATATACTGCAGTAGTATGAAGGGGAAGTTTTCTTTCTCAGCAGAAGTCACTAAAGTTCACCCCAAAGGACTGGTTTTAGTATTTGCATAATAGATAAAGAATTTAGTTGCAAATGGGGAAATGTATCCTCTGATTAATGCAAATTAAATAAATGAGTGTTAAAATGCATTAATGCATGCATCGATCTGACATTGAAAAATTCAGTGTATCATTTATGGAATTATATAAAATGGATTTTAACAACTATACTAATATACAATCTTGATCTTTTCCAGTTGTAATAGTCCACCATAGGTTTAATTGTTCCTGCAGTTATATTTGTGTATCTAGAATATTGTTAAGCGTTGAAAATAATTATCAATTGAACTATAACATAATCTAAGAGCAAATATTTACTTCATAAATTATATTTATATGTATAGATTTTATTGATATTGTAAAATAATATTTAGATTTCAGAGTTGCATTTGGAGTAATTGGTCCCACTTTAATAGGTGTCTTTAACTACTATGCATTAACATTTAAACAAATCATTTGATACAATGCACTTATTGCGTACATACATGTTTTTACATTGTACTTATTTTTTTTTTTTTAAAAGACCTGCATGTAATTACAGCTGTAATTACACTGTTTACACCTTAAACCTACCTATACCACCAAACCTGTCACTGTCACATCCTCAGTCACCAGTCTATCACTTCTGCACACTACATCTCCCACAATCCTCCTTGGTTATCACCTGCACTCACTTCTCAATCACCACACCTGTCTGTGATTACCCACATCAGCACCTCTCATCTCTCCCTTTATAAGCAGTCACCTTCCACACCACAATTATCTGGTCTCATCGGTCATTCATGAACACCTGGCGATACCTGTGAAATCCTCTCTTGAAATGTCCAACCTCTGCCTGCAACACAACAGATAAGAACTGTCATAGTATCACGTCAACTGTCTTCTCTCCAGTTACTCACCTGTTTACATCCATTCCAGTACTGTAATAAACTATTTTATCACCTTTTCTACACTCTTCTGTTCTACGACAGTCACTAACCTTACTCGTATCCACCACAAGTGTTTTGCAATACACCATGAACCAGTGGTGGAATGTAACGAAGTACAAATACTTCGTTACTTTACTTAAGTAAATTTTTCACGTATCTGTACTTTACTTAAGTAGAATCAATAGTGCATACTTTTTACTTTTACTTCGTTACATTTTGCAGCAATTACTATACTTTCTACTCCACTACATTTCTACAACGTTCGGTTACATTTTCTGATCAGTTTTTCCCCTGCCAAAACGTCATCCTGACCGTCCGTTCATCGCACGTTTCTGTCTCACCAGTGAAGTTTGGTTGCCATAGATATATCAACCCGGTCACACTAAATGCGTCTCTATAGCACGCAGTGTGTTTATCGTGCAATTTATACGCGAAAATTAGTTTTTACATGCATAGGAAAAACGCATTGGTAGGTTTAGAAGTGATGTGGGGTGTGTGTGTATTATACGTTTGGTTAGGATTAGTATGGCAAGCCAAGAGGTTCAGAATTACGCCATAAATGAATCGCGTTTACAGCCAAACGCCGTCATATACGGCGTTTTAACATAATATGTGTGTTTATATATATATATATATATATATATATATATATATACATACATACCGTATATAGTAAGGGTATATAGTAAGCTTGATGTGTATATTGCCTAATTGCAAGCTTGTTCAGAAATGGTGACAAAAACTTAAAATATAACTGCTTTTCCATATTGAACATCATTATATGAGTATTAGGTTGAATGAGTTAGAATTAACTGTTTTATTAATCATTAGAATATAGACATTAAGAGAATAAATTGTTATGCAAGTACTTTTACTTTTAATACTTAAAGTACATTTAAAATCAGGTACTTTTTACTTAAGTAGGGTTGTCATTGTGGTACTTCTACTTTTACTAAAGTAAATATGTCTCTGGTTATTTGTACTTTTACTTAAGTACTGAGATTCAGTACTTCCTCCACCACTGCCATGAACACACTAAGTGCACTGTACTTGTTTTTTTATTTTATTTTTATGTAAGTACATAGTAGTTAAAGACGGCTCATATAAAGTGTGACCGAGTCATTAGTTGTGAGAAATTAATAATAAAAAGTATAGTGGTCTAAAAATGCATTCATGCTTAGGAATGAAAATTCATTGCATTGATTAGAGATTTGCGTGTTGAGTATTTTCAGTAATTAATGTAATAAAAATGTGTTGATAATCTGATTTCTGTAATCTGTCTCTTGTGTTTTCCACCAGCTGCTTTCTCCATGGGGAGAAAGTTATTCTAGAAAACCACACATGTATGTTTGTGACTGTGTCAGAGGGACTCTGAAGTAGTCGGGTCACTGTTCTTTTCACACTGCACGACTATCTTTATTTATATAGTGCTTTTTTACAATACAGATGGTTTCAAACCAGTTTACAGAGATAACAGGAAAATAATGCAACAAAGTTTGTTTCCAGAAGAAAATAGCATCACGGTCCAGCTTAGGTAAGTTCAGTGATGTTTCATTTTTGTTGGAAAAAAGTTATTAATTTAGGTCATTTATATATATATATTTAGCCGCTCTGGAGAAAACCGTGATGTCATCTTCCAGCTCAGTTCAGTTCTCATGGTGTCAATGCAGGCAGATCAATATTATTGTTGAATATTAAATTAAATGTTAAATTTAATGTCCCCAACTAAGCAGAGCCAAAAGCCAATGGCAACAAAGGTGGGAAAAAAAAGGTCATCGCCGATGTAGTTTTCTGTCAGAACACATTCACACAGCAGGATTTTGAATCGCCGACAGGTCCAGATATTTAGCTTGCCAAATATCTCACAGGCGTTGGCGACTCATCGGTGATTCTTTCAGGTCGCGTCTTAGATAATTCACACTGCGTGATTGTTACTCACGTGAACGAGCAGCGATATTTCTATGATTTCGGGCATTTGGCGGCGATCTCACAAAACCTGTCGGCGAGCGAAAATCAGGCCTAAAATCGTTCAGTGTGAACGTGGCAGTACAGAGCTCCATTTCTTTTTTTTTGCGTGTAACCTGCTTGTAAACCCTCCTCACCTACACTGCCCATCCGCATCGCCCACTTACTGAGTGGGCCTATGGCTCTCGCTGTTCCAGTATGAGAAACCTTTGCAAACCCACGTGCATGCAAATACGCATGCACAAACACTCCATTTTCAGACTGCTTATTTGCACAGTCAGCTAATGTTTGCTTTCTTATTCAAATGATATACAAGGGATTGCCTGGACAAATATGAAAATACGAGATACAAGAGGAAGAGGTATTAATGTTGAATGAGGTTGTTTTGGTCTGTGTGAACTCTGTATTTACCACTGACTTACAGTTGCAGTCTGCAACCTCAGAGACGTAGAGAAGAGCGTGTGCATGGATTATGGCCCTTAAATATAACTTGCATCAACAGTGCATTGAACTCTATAGTGGCAAGTTACTGTGTTACCCTGCCCTGGTGCTGCAGTGCACACATGGTCAAGCAGTCTAACAGTTCAAGTGTCGTCTTTTGCCCCATTTACTGACCTTTCAAAGGGCAGCAAGTGATTACCCAACATCTCACATGTTATATCATCCATGCCTTCATGAAAATCAAAACAAGAGAGACTGATCCCATGCGTACAACATCATAAAAGCCGGCATTTCAATCATGACACTGAGAAAATATTAATCTAATTATTGGTGCAAATAGTAAAATGCTCTTCTATGAAGATCTGTAAGGTTTTTCATATGGAGGTTAAAACACCGTGATACTTGTGCTGAGAGGTACGTAAGTCTTTGGAAGTTGAAGTTCAACCTTTTAAAATGATTATTTTGCTATATATATATATATATTCGCTGCCTCTCACCTCTTTCCATTCCACCTGTGCTGAGAATCTGGAGTCTGCAGGAACCTTGGGCACATGGCCGGGTCAACACTTTGCAATATTACAGACTCAATGTGTTCCCAGAGTGCAGCTCCGATAACTGCTGTATATCGTAGATATGTCTGCATGAGCCTGTTTAAAGGATTAGATGTCCTCATGCAACAGAACTGAGGTCAGTTTTGATGCTTTGCAAAGATTTGCCTAGATCAGTCATAATGTGATTTAACTTAAAACACTATCACTGAACCTATTTGCTTTCCTTTCCAGAGAATCTTTCAAAGGAGAGAGAGTGTTTGGGCGTCTTTGTCCACAGTTCTGCACATGAAGCGCATATGCAAATTCACTGCTCAAGGGAAATTTTCTTCCTCAAGAAGTCACCAAAGTTCATTCCAAAAGATAAGTATTTGCATTAAAATGTGGGATTGAAATTTGCATAGAGAATATTTGGGAGTTTAGAAGTACACACAGGGAAATTTTGTTGTCTTAATGGCTAATATATTTACAAATTCATTTCTAAAAATTTTACTACAATGTAAAGTCATATTTACAGCAACACCTTTATATCCTGAATTATGTTTTTACCTATTTGATTCATCCACATATTTGGTGAATGCAGCATAACACATGATATCTCTGTCCATTTAAAATCCTGCTGGGAATTGCATGTACCAGCATGTTCTCTAGCCTCTTTTCTCACACTTTTGTGGAAGTACACTTTCACACAGTACATTTTTTTTTCCCTCTCCATTGGGAACAAATCTTTCCCTGAATCCCAGCATTCTCTTTATAGGTGGGGACATGTAGTTTCTGCCTGCAGGCTAGAGTTCTTCATCAACCTGAGCTGTTTCTTTCTCTGCCAGGCCTGCTTGACCCGTTTCTCCTGCTGCAGTCCCGGAGGAACTGGTTCTGGTTCCTGAGCACCAGTCTTACAGTGAGGAGCTGGGGATGTGTACGTGTGTGTGAGAGAGAAAAAAAAAGAATGAATCTCATTCCTTTTGTAACAGACGAAAATGCCATGTCTATTTAACTGAGCAGGCCTGTTCTGTGACCCTACTTTAAACAATACTATTGTCATTAGTCATAATGGATATTAATGCTCAGATATGCTTGGCATTTGGATCTCTTCCCATCACACAATGCCACAATGTACAATTCAGTTGGAGAGTTTCTGTAATGTTGTCTTTTATGGAATGTTATTTATGGAAAATGTGAGTGGTGCTTACCAGTGCAAAAGTTGCAACCACAGTGCTAGGGTGTTGTGGTTGCCAAGCTACTGATCTAAGTCAAAAGAGCCCCTCAAGTCTCTAAGATACTCTGATCCCTTAATATGGCTCCCTCCTTCAATTTCAAGTCTATGGGTTTTTTATAGTTGGGTAGGTGATGAAGGTGGGGTCACACGTGCAAAGTTTTGCAGGCAAAAAAGTTCCACTGTCTATTGTCATCAACAATGGACAAAGCACTGCTAAGACAAAGGACACTTTCAAACCAAACAGCTTTTTGTTGGTCAAATTATGTGACCATCTTAAACCCAATGTGAATTCTGTGTGGAAAATGTTATCACCTTCAATCAAAATGCCTGGTCGCACAAATTCCTATTGAAATTTTGCAGAACACCGTTAAACGACTACACCTTACAAAAATAACAATACATCTTTCCTCGACAACCTTATGTCCGAAGCATAAACAAAGAAGTTGAATAGTTAGGCATAGAGGCTTGTTCAAATAGTAATAGCGATGTTTGTTACAAGAAAAACTATGTATAAATGCTTTGTGATTTTTGAGCCTTAGGTTTATTCATGAGAGATGTTTCAAACTTGCTTATTTCAACACGTTGTCTAAGGGTACGTTTTCACCACAACGATATGCTTAAAACGGAGAAGTTTGTCCTTTGAGTTCTGAGTTTTGAGTTTGTCCTTTTAAGCTCTGTTGTGTTCGCCGCTGCGACACCACCTCTATCTAAAAGAGCAGCGAGACGTCTTATTAAAGATGCCTCGCACTTCCTGCGGCTCGTGCAGAGCCCCGCTCAGCGTCGGAGACCGCCACGTGATCTGCGCTATCTGCCTGGGACAGGAACACACAGCGCTCGCCCTCTCCTCTGGAGGCTGCGAGCTCTGCGAAGAACTGCCGATGTCGACCCTGCGGGCTCGACTCGAGACCTTCAACACTGAGGCTGTCATTCGCCCTTTGCTGGTCCGCGCAAGAAAAAAGCGCCGCTCCCAAAGGCCTCCGGAGCCTGTGCCCACAGCGAAACGCTCACCGGAGTCCCTCCCTCGAGCTTCGCCCTCGCCTTCTCCGCCCCCCTTCACGGACGCGCAGCCGCCGGCTACGGCCCTCGCTGTCGTTGCGTCGGACGACGAGGTGGAAGGTGACGCCACTAAAGACAGCTGTTCTATCCTGGCATCGGACAGCGAGGAATGGTCGGGCTCTCATCACTCCGCCTCCTCCTCGATCCAGGAATCCGGCCGGACCTGTGCTGGAGTGGACGCCGAGCTCATGCGCCTCCTCTCACAGGCCGTCGACCGCCTCGGCCTCGAGTGGTCGCCGCCCCCAGAGCCCGCGCCTAACAGACTCGACGGCTACTTTGTTCAGAATCGCAGCCGTCAAGTGCCCGCCTCCAGGTCCGCGCCCTTTCAGCCTGAACTCCACACGGAGCTTACTAAATCGTGGAATGCACCATTCTCCGCGAGGCTCCACTCTCAAGTCTCCGCGTCACTCTCCCAAGTGGACGACGCCGCCGAGAAGAGATGTTCTTCTATTCCCCCTGTGGAGGAAGCGGTTGCAGCGCACCTTTGTCCGCCCTCCGCGAGATGGCGCTCAAAGTCTGCGCTCCCGTCGCGTTGACAATGAATATAAAAATTAAGGATAATTTTTTGGCTTCAATATCTCGAAAAGCTTAATCTTTCCCGTAGCGTAAGCTAACTTACGCAATACTCGTTCCCTCTTCTAGAGAGAACCGAGGTTACGTTAGGTAACCGATACGTTTTCCACGTACAGACCATTCACATGGATCCGCGAAAATTACTAAAAACCCTGTATTCTACTGCCAGGCCATTAGATGACGATGAAATACTATAGACTGAATACGTAATACGCATGTGTATGATGTCATCGTCTTCAGAGATTCGTGGTTTTGTTGTTTACATGGAGACCGTTTTCAAAAACTTGCACTTTGAAACCCGTTTTCAAAAGTTTGCGTTTTCAGACACCAAAAACGCCGTTGTCGTGTAAACTAACAACCAAAACGCATAAAAAGTTTTAGGTTTTTAGTTGAAACGGTGTCGTGTAAAAAGCAGACGACACCATTGTCAAAACGATCCCTATTCACACGGATCCGCGAAAACGACTAAACACTCTGTGTTCTGCTGCCAGGCCTTTAGATGGCGATGAAACACTATAGACTGAAGACGTAATGCTTATGTGCGTGATGTCATCGTCTTCAGAGATTCGTGTTTTTGTTGTTTACATGGAGACCGGTTTCAAAAACTTGCAATTTGAAACCCGTTTTCAAAAGTTTGCATTTTCAGGCACCAAAAACGCCATTGACGTGTAAACGAATGGCCAAAACGCATTAAAAAAGTTTTAGTTGAAAACCGTGTCGTGTAAACAGCCCCTAAGATATGTGGTTCGAGGTTAGTATCTTACCCTATCAATGGAATAGAGAAAAGGCACTATAGACACATTATTGCTCTTTGAATATCAACAGCAAGTTCACTTCTTTGAGAAAGTTTCCCTTTGAGGAATCAAAGCTCTGCGCTCAGTCCAAAATAGCCAAAAGAAATGAAAATACTTATTTCTGGTTTAAGGTCGGTGCTGTCCAAGCTTCTTTTTTTTCTGAATCATTCTCTTTCATCTGTGTTTCCTGTTTTGAGCAAGGCTATGTTGCATTTGCAGGTGGTGGGAAATCTCACGCTCACACTCCTCACCCACTTTTGCCCCTCAGAAAACACTGCAGAAGCAAAAACATCTGCTGTTGTCTGTGGGAGAACAATGAATTTAAACTTAAGACCAGAGCCAAACGCAAATATACACGCTCAGGGTTTTTTTAGGGTCTTTCCTGGGTCTGTTGGTGCATGAGGCTGGTGTCAGCCACTCTGTGTGTGAAGACCGTGAGAGCTGAAATTATACAAGAGGTCACATGACTCAAGCTGTGAGAGCGCTGTAGGGAAACAAGCACAGGCCTGAGATGACTGTGCTTCTATGTGATCTGTTCACGACCTTTTGGACCTTAGTTGGGCCCATGCAAATTACAAACACCTCAAAAACAATAGACCAGGGGTAGTTAACCCTGCTCTTGGAGGGCTACCTTTCTGCAGAGTTCAGTTCCAAGCTGGCTTCAACAAACCTGCCTGTAATTTTCAAGTAATTCTGAACATCTTGATTAGCTGCGTTTGATTAGGGTTGGAGCTAAACTCTGCAGGATTGGTACAGTAGCCCTCCAGGAGAAGGGTTGGCTACTCCCGCTGTAGACGGTGTCACATCTATTAACTTGTTGAAATGACATTTCTCACAAACACTTCCTGTAGATTTTTGTAAAATGTGGCATGGCGTTTGCTGAGGAAAAGAAAATGATGATGATGAGGCATCAAAAACCTTGGACCAGAGCACATTTGTTGGGATGTGGATTCTCTGCTAAACCTCCACCTGGAGCTTACTGCTAAGACCATGAGAGCCTGCCCAAGAGTCAAAAAAACAAATTATTCATTGTTCCCAGAGGCTGTGAAGAGTCTGTAGGGCTGTTAACTCAGCAGGGAGTTGAGATATTGGGCAGTTAACATCCCCCTGCTGACAAACACATTTGTGTGCACCAACTCCCTTCATTTTTCAAATGCTTATATAAATTAGGCTAATGGCAAAGGGAACTATGGTTAGTGAGCTGCTAGCTTCTGAGGATCTTTAGCAGAAGAGTGCAATTTGAAAGTCTTTATGTGATAAACCCGTCCTGAATGAGTAACCTACAACTCTTATTTGACAGCTTCCCTTGGACCAGCTTCATTGTCACCTAAGCCAGATTCCTGCTCTTCAGCCCTGGATTTCAACATCTGATGTATCATCCACAGCACCTATTTATGACGTTAGTCACAGTGTGACCCAAAAAACAGCTCCAGAGGATTCAGTGTAAGTCAGATGTGTATTTTATTTCAGCCCCTTTGCTAACACTTGGGTATTGACCTTTGAGCCTTGGGTATTGACCTTGGGTATAGCCTAGTTTGCCCAGAGAGTCTATGTAGTGGCCCTGTCCACCTGAATGTGTGTGTCCTAGCTCGAACCACCCTTTTTAGCTCGCTAGAAATGTAAATCTCCTTAACACTGCTTTCAGTTACTAATAATCTCCACGGGAGCCTTGCTGCACAACACAGTTTGATTTCAGGCAGAAATATCCTTTCATTTCTTGGTCAGCTTTGATGTGGCAGCAATGTCCTTAGTTGACTCTTTAAGTCTAGAGAAAGACATAGTGCTTATTTACTTAAAATGGGAATGGAATCTGTTTTATTTCATCAAATCATGCATTCGTTTCAGGATATAGATGTCCCTTCAAGTCTGACCTTCAGTTCCCATCACCATGCTGACTTAATTTCCAATGACTGCAATGTCTGATACACTCTTACGGTCATGCGAGGCCTCCATCACACCTTCAAATAAAAGTCCCAAACCCTTTTTAGTAATTCCTTTGGCTGGCACTTCACAAACTAAGGGTTTGCCATGTGCGTCCAGCTGAATCCCTGTTGTTTATTTTGAAGGAGAGTTGGTGTACTCGTACACAGATGAAATATCATCCAGGCTGTGCCTCTAATGACACAGCACTTCAGAGAGCTGTTATACGGTGACCTCACTATCATTGTGTAAGTGAGATGGAATATTAATGATGGTGCTGTACCACCTTTGTTTTCAACTCTTCTCCTACCGTACAGTGCTTGCGCAGGCCGCTGGCTATGTTTGTGTTTGATTTGTGACGTCTATTGAAGAGGTAACATGCCGAGGGTCTGTTGTGTAAACATTGCATTGAACATGACGTGCACAGAGCCCAGCATTGATGTCAAGAAGAAACTGGGAACCAGATTCAGGGACAGAATGCACGTGCTTGTTGACAGTCGCCTTTAGTCTTTGTGGTGTGTTCAAGCGCAGCTTTTTGGCAGAGACGCCGCCAACGAGAGGCGACAACACAGTCGGCTTTCATCGCCGCTAGATCTTTGACATCGGCTTGGTGTGTCCTGTGCTTTAGATTTCCAAATACCTGCAGAAGCCTACTCCGACTCTCTGCCACAAGGAAAAATGCGTATGTCTGCTTACACCCTGAATCTGAACGTTGTCATGGACTTTAGCGTAGGCCACATCAAATCTGTGCATATGCACATTTTATAAACGGCTCCTGAAGCGATTTGGTTTGATAAAATTTTGCTTGCTCTGGGATTTTATGTAAAATAAAACCTGTGAGCAAGCAAATTTTTGGTAAAAAGTACATTTTGTTCACAAACACTAAAAATAAAAACAGTCACAACCTAGCAACCACATATAGCAATGCCTTAACCACCCAGAACCCTCTAGCAACCATATAGCAATATCTCGACAATCACCATGCTTGTGGCGGAGAATTTTTCTCCGATAAACACCACTCATGCTTTCTCAAGTTTTCCCCAAAATGCCATATATTTTTGTTTAAATCATATCACAATAGCCCATTATTTTAGCACGTACATTTGTGCAAATATTTGCTGTTATAAAATATCTAGTTTTCCCCTAAAATGGCATAAAAATCTTAAGAATTCTTGCACTTTTTCCAGTACATTTTATGCAGTTATTTATAATTCCTATAGGCTCACTCCATCCCTGTCCTCCCATATGCAGTTCGGATCAGCACATCACTGTCCACCAATCACAGGGGATCTTGTGTTGCACTGAGCTCATGCACTGACTCACCAATCACATGATTTAAAAGGAACTCCTCATCTGTTTTTCCCCCTCCCTTTCCTGCTTTTGCTTTGCTCGCTCCATTTCCAATAACATAGAACCTGCTCTTCCGGGAAAGAGAGAGGGAGCAGAGATCTGAGGCCTGAGTGTGTGTGTGTGTGTATGGTCACAAGAGCGTCAATTCCCTCTTTTTCCTCCATGAGGTCAGACTACATTTTGTGTTGCTGATCTAAGCGCTGGAAAAGTTGGTGGCATGAGCCAACTGAGTCAAAGAGTGAGGGTGTGTATGTGTGTGTAGACCCCTGAAGTGACTTCATTGTCTGCTTCATTGGACTGCTGCTATTACACTTCATTATCATACACTTGTTTTCCATGTATGGTCATTTGCTGCGCAGTTCTTTGTGAGAAGATTACAAATCAGCCCAAATGAAGGGGCTTTCCAGCACTAAACACAAAAACACTTGAGACAAAGCAAAGGCAGTGTGACATCAGAGTTCTGAGGAGCTGGCAGAAGCTGCTGTCATGTGATGCTGAGTCAAGATGAGAATGAGATCATGAAAAACAAAGCACCTGACATGCATACTGTCTCTCTCCAGATGTTTGAACTTTATAGCCACATGATGGGCTTGCTGATCTGTTCATCACATTTGTGCTGATGTAATTTACAGGAAAGAGCTCTCAAATGCAATAACTAAGGGTTAGTAGTGTTTGCTAAAGCCCTGTTCTCACTGACTGTAATCAAATCATTCGATGTTGCTCTGTGCTGATAGTGCAAGTAGTCATTCCCACTGAAATATCCCACTGTATCTGTTAATCGTATCTGTTTCCTTTGTCATATCGATGCATCACTTCACTGTTAATTTGCATAAATGTAAATATTTGTTCTCCATTGTTTTGTTTTATAATTGCGATTCTTTATGATTAGGATTTACATATACTTATGGCAAAATAAAATAAACAGACAAATAGACTACAAAATAAAGAATATGCTAAATAGATTTGCATATCATGTGGCAGAAAATGTACTGTACCAACAATGAATTGTGATTTTTTAAATCCAGAATAAAATTGCCAGGCCAAAAAAAAGTCGCTGTTTGGATTTAAATGGCAAATGCTTAATGATTGGATCTCTTGATAATAACATCACTGCCGGGCAGTGTATATTAATGGAATATAACATTTTTAATGGTGGTGGCGACCACCTACAACTCTGGCATCGTTGCAGAGGTTTTGCATGGGCTGATTGTTTTTACAGTTCCGTTTTGTGTATAAATCCCACGCTGCGCCTTTAAGCATGCATGCTTACTTTTATTATATTGCAGAAATTGCAGAAGAACCACTGCAAACTGGTGATGAAATATCCTCTTTCTTTGAAATATGCTACTGCTATAGGAGAGTGTGATTTCCCTTTACAACTTATGATGGACACGTGGAACCATAGACACACATACACACACATTCACTGCTTCCTGTATTGGAGAGTAAGCCAGTGTCACAAGAGAGATGGTACTGGTCACGGTGACATTGCAAATCAAAGTCACAGTGAACACCATGTGTGCAGTGTCACTCTGCCCAGACCGTGTGTGTGTGTGTGTGTGTGTGTGTGTGTGTGACAGTCACAAATCACATGCTCAAGCTGCCGTCCTGCGCCTGAATAATTGACTCTGTAGGGACGAACTGAGCAACTGTTGATTAAATACATTTGAATAAATCCCGCCTCAGGAACATCCTTTCATGAATGAACTTAGAGATCCTAGTGTGATGTACAAAACACTCTAGAATCAAGCAGAACCAGCTCCTTCTCTGTTCTAGTGCAGACCAGGACTGACTGTAAATCATCTGCTTTGGTGATTCATTTTCTAAGACGGGTTTAAATCTGAAAGTCACACATTACAGGAGCACATTCATATCAGTGGTCCCACATAGTCAAAGTGATTTATGCAGATTTTGATTCAGACTTTAAATACACCTTGTATTCTTTTCGTAATTTCAGTCATACCGAGCAACCATACGATCACAGGCTGATTCAAAAATGTATTCACGAAAATCGACTGTAAAAAGATAATCATCATCTGGCCATTTTTGGCATACATGACCAGACACAATTTTGGATAATCAAATGAATTTATGTTTCCTCTGATTTTACAAACCTCGTGATATATAAAAGCATCTGACTAAATGCTTGAAATTCGTTTTGTAGAATAATATTTATTTAACTTATGTATGAAAACTTGAATTTGTTTATTTATTCACCAAACTATAATTAATCCTATTTATGTATGTATGCAGGCATTCATTCATTCATTCATTCTCCAAACTATTTATTTATTTATTTATTTATTTATTTATAACAACAATAGATTAATATAAACGTGCAGCATATGGGAACTCCAAAAATGTAATAATTTAATAAGTTAGTGTGTCTGCATGTTTGACTGGTAATTTATTTTCAATAAATTATTATTTGGAATGTACTAATTGTAATCTTGCATTTATTTCATATGTATAGTATGCAAATTGTAACAACTGTGTTCATGTTTTTAGTCTTAAATGTGCTATCCATTAATTATAAATGCAAATTTCATGAATAATTATACTCAGCCGCTATACTACTGGAATAATAGTTCAATTTAAAACAATAATAGTTTTTGTTTAACTAAGATGTCAAAAAGGGACTTTCCAGAACATATACAAAAAAAATGGTTTTATAAAAATTGCATTATTCTTCCACAACAACAGACTTTTATCAAATGTACCTACTTTTTCCAGTACCTACTTTAGCACAAAGTCCACATCAGGAATATGGGATAAGATTCTGCATAATGGAAAAATAAACATTTCATTCCAAAGACACTTTTTCCTTTGCCACCTTAAAAACCCCCACACACTCACACCCATGATATTTATTCTGTAGCTTTACGCCTGCAAGTGTACAGGTTTACTCGGAAAAGGAGTCTTATCTTATCTGTGGTTCCTGCTGTGGAGTTCCACCGTTTTCCATTTCCCAAGTGCTGGTTTTCTCTGCTTCTGGGTACAGAGACCCACTGGAAAGAGGGATTATGTGGTGTACGCAGCTAAACCCCATTGACAAACAGGTGTGGCTGCAACTGCCCTGTGAACTGGGCCTCAGACTGTCCTCACCCAGTTTGCCCCTAAAATTCTTCCTACGGCTTTTCTCACCCCC